AACCGGAACTTCTTACCAAAGGGACTTGTTTTCGTGTTAAATAGTGAAGATTTAAAGGAATGATGACTTCAATTTGTGATACTGTTTTATCATGACGTCAATTTTTATATTTACCTCAGCTAGTTTACTATTGGTGTTTTATATTACGCAAAAATATGTGATAAACGTTTTTTCTTCAATAATCGATCGCAAGAAAGTTTTTTGTTTTCTTACAATCTTTCACAGGTAAATGGAAAAATGACTCAAGGAGAAAACATTGCTGATAACGGTGGACTCAAGCAGTCGTACAGGGTGAGGCAAAATGTGACAGTAATGTTTAATTTTAATATAGAAAAAACAAGTACTGTGCTGGTTTAGTCACAAAATTATTTCGACGCATTTTACTTTAACTGCCAGTCTATAAAGATAGCATATTATTGTTCACGTATGAAATACGATGTAAAATAAGAAACATATTTGGTTGTTTATAAGATAATACTAACGTAAGAATGACTTATGTGTATGAGGTGTTGTTTTCATAGTAAAACGTTTATTTTAGGCGTACAAGAAGTGGGTAGAGAAGAACGGAAAGGAACCGTTACTTCCCGGTATTCGTCTCAGTCACGATCAGTTGTTCTTCCTGAACTTCGCTCAGGTATGGGTTCGTCAGAAAGAAATAATAACATTGATGAATACAAATGAACACTTTATAAGATCACTGTTGTGTTTATTTATAAACTTGGCACGGTTATTTATGTATTTTGATGAGTTAGCGGTAAGTTTTACGGACCTACAACTCTAAAATCCAGGGCTCGATTCCGCGCAGTCTACAGAGTCTGCAATGAAACAACAACATTTATGTATTTCGGGGCCATTACTTAATTTACTGAAATATGGCTGGATGTGGCCTAATGGTGTGTGTGCCTAGACTGTGAATCCGAGAGTTAGGCGTTTTCGTCCCCTTGTCACAAAAACATGTTCAGGGGGTTGTGACCTTATTATAGAAATGACGGTCGAATCGCAGTGTTCGACCAGAAGAAGTGTGGCTTAAGAATTGACGGTGGGTGCTATTGACCACCGGCCTTCCCTCTAGTCTGTTTTTGCACGAATATTCTAAACAAACAATTATTGAGATTAGATAAATAATATAAGACCGTTAAGATAATGTAAGTTGTTTTGAATAGGTAGGTTTTGTTTTCATATATATTTCTCATTATCTGTAAAAACACCTCATTTTATTAGTATTTTCTTTGAGTCATGATAAATGACGTCAGTTACCTATATTATTATATAATAATATATATATATATATATGTTTCATTGGTAATATTAAAAAAAAACTGGTTTAATTGTTGTTAGATTTGGTGTGGAACCATGAGACCAGAAGACGCCCTGACCAAGATTCGATCGTCGGTTCACAGTCCAGGGCCAATTCGGTAAGACATTGTTGTAAGGAGTTTCCTAAATAATATTTTTACGTAATTAAAATATCAGTTAAATACGTATTTAGAATCCATTCCTTTACGCGCATATTTTTCCTTTTTTCTTTGTAGAGATTTTTTTAACCCGTATATACAGATTATAAATCAGTATTTTTCGGTTTATGTATGCGTGCATATATATATATATATAGTTTTTCATTCTCCAAACGAATGACCTAGAGATGGTAGCTTTTTATATTAGTCTTGATTTGGTGTGACACTTTCTTTCTGGTTGAGATTTGTGTCAGAGTGCAGTAGAAAATCAACAAAGTATTCCATAAAATATAGACAACAATTATTGAATTGTAATTGAATTACATAAAGACCGTGGAAAACATTATATTAAAAGTTTGATTTGAAGCGTCTAAACAAATTAAACTTTGAAGTAAATTTTGTCTTAAATTAACTGATATGAATTTTTTGGGTTTTGTCTGTTTTGAAATATGTGTGAAATTTTGGTTGTTCCATTGCTAGGGTTCTTGGGCCTTTATCAAATTCTTATGACTTCGCACGAGCCTACAACTGTCCAGTTGGAAGTAGGATGAATCCCGAAAAAAAGTGTTCAGTATGGTGAACTTATTCACCATTTTTATGTCTCATAGAACAGACAGTTCAACTGCCTGTACATTGAAAACCAAAATGAACCTATACGTGCAATGAAAAGTAAAACCGGAACTTCTTACCAAAGGGACTTATTTTCGTGTTGAAGAATGAAGAGTTAAAGAAATGAAGACTTCAATTTATGACACTGGTTTATCATGTTGTTGTTTTTTTCAGAGTTTAATATGAGGTACATTTTGTTAGTAAAATATGGCTTAATTTACGGCTTTTTAATGAAGAAAGCTTAATGGTAAATCAAGAAAATATACGTTGAATAATGAAAAAAAAAATATTCAATATTTTTTATTTAGTTTTCACATAAAATGTTTATATAGAGAACTGACATTATGTAGTTTGAAAATTCATTCGGTTTACCCTTTCAACATGGCAGCATAAAAATAAAAGTTGTCAATTTTTCAGGTCTGGAAAAATGTCGGCAGAAAGGTCATTTACGTTCTTCCTGATATTGGAACTTTTTAATAAAAAAAACTACTCACCTTAGTTCAAATGATTTATAGTTTCGTTTCGAGTTTCCTTACTGATAATAAGCATTTTTCATTATAAGAACAGGTACGACGTTTTGAACGATTTTACTAAAAGGCTTAACGTTTTAAGTGTTTTAATAGTAAGTATATTTAAACTTTATAAACTGATCGTTTTAGATACGTTAAAGATATATCGAAACTGAAATACAACATATTTCTAGCATTGTTTAAAGATATTATGATATAAAAGTTATTAGGTTTAGGACAGCAATATTATTTAATATAAAATGTTATCTTTGGAAGCTGCAAGAAACCATTTTTTACGTTACCAGAAATCTTATCGAGAGATCGATGGTTAAAGAATGGTATATTGTTTAATAATAAAGATTATATAGAGTTTAATTTACAAGGTTAAAGAAACATTTAAACGCTTCTTATTTAATTTTTACCCATAAAAATATTGGTTACATATTAAATTAACACTTTCTATAACCTTTAAAACGTGGTCAAGAAACGACCGAATTCTTTTAAACTTCGTATATTTTAAGTTTTCAGTCTCTACAATATTTTTCCATAACGTAATGTCCTAAAGTGAATCTTTTTTTTTGCTAGAATCCGGGTTTCGATACCTAAAGTGAATCTTTTTTGTTATGTATAATAAAGTCATTAGAATCAATACTAATTATAAAACTTAGCATAATTTCAAGTACTACTTCTTTGCCGCCAGTGGCACAGCGGTATGTCTGCGGACTTACAGTTGCTAGAATCCGGGTTTCGATACCTAAAGTGAATCTTTTTTGTTATGTATAATAAAGTCATTAGAATCAATACTAATTATAAAAACTTAGCATAATTTCAAGTACTACTCCTTTCCCCCCAGTGGCACAGCGGAATGTCTGCGGACTTACAGTGCTAGAATCCGGGTTTCGATACCTAAAGTGAATCTTTTTGTTATGTATAATAAAGTCATTAGAATCAATACTAATTATAAAAACTTAGCATAATTTCAAGTACTACTCCTTATCCCCAATTGGTACAGCGGTATTTCTGCGGACTTACAGTGCTAGAATCCGGGTTTCGATGCCCGTGGTGGGCAGAGCACAGATAGCCCATTGTGTAGCTTTGTGCATAATTACAAAAAACAAACAAACTACCGCTTTAAGTGATAAAACCTCATTTGTGTTAATTAAAAGGAAAGTCTAGGATTATGAGTTCTAATCGCGATTCAATTTTTGTTAGATGTAAAAGAAATACTTGAACTTATTACTAAGTTGAGGGGAATAAATCAGAGTACAAAGAACAGGTATATTGATTAACGATTATTGTAAAAACAAGTTAAAATATTTGAACGTTTTTAACTAACCCGTTTGCTCCTTTACTTAATGTCAAGTGTTTTCGTCATCGACGTTATTGGGTGTATATCTCTTCTTTCACCCAATCAAACAGCTGCGTTTTTCAACGCAGTGTTAATTCTGTTTGTTCGGTAAAGTTCATTGTTGTATATTATTTTGAAGTAAAGTTTATATGGCTGTGGAATTGTTACTGACTTGTATTATTTACATTGTTGCACGAGAAATATATCTAGGTGTATATAAGATTGTAAGTATCGTTAAGAACAGCTAAATTGTGCGTCTGTTACGTATACCTGTGTATATTGAAGCTTTGTTTAATAAAGGTTCCATGTCATGGCGACCGCAAAGTAAACCAGTCGGTCTTATAATTTAAGTTGCTGGTTTGTATGGATTATATTGTATAAATATACTCAATTGTTTAACTGTTCGTTATGATTTATAAAATTACCGTATTTAATGACTTTCTTTCAAAGTTTGTAGCGCATTCTGGAGAGATTTACAGATTGTGATAAAAGTTTAAATAAACGATCTTTACACTCCAAGTCTATATATATAAGTGTTTTGTTATTACTACCAACGTTTCGCTTTTACGGATTAACCCTGTAAAAGCGAAACGTTGGTAGTAGTAATAACAAAATAAATATATATCGTTTATCTAAACTGTTATCAAAATGTATTTAATCACTGTTATATAAACAAGTTAACTGTTAACCCTACACTATTATTTACGGCCTATAAGCGGTTTTCGTTGTTACTTCGACAATGACCGTAGTTAACACGCGTGTCTGTAAATATAATAAGTTACAATATGTTGTGTTTTTTTTTCAAAGTTCTTCGTCATTGCTTACATAACCTAAGAGTAACGGGATCCTTTCTGTTTTGGATTTGTTTGTTAAATATAGTTCTATTACAGAGTAAGTAGCATAAAACCAAGAGTATAAAAATAGTGGACTCGTTTATATAATAAATACAGTAATGCTGCCAAAATATTGACGTAGAACCAAAACAAGAATTTTTTGTATTGTAATATATATATATTCATTGTATTTATGGTTTTCATTGTTAATCTATTTGTCTTTTTCATATAGTATTTATCAACCATGATTGTTCAACCAGTAAAAATAACACGCATATATATATAGAATAATATTCCTTGTAATACAGGCGTAGTGTGACTAAATCCAATCGGTTTCAGTCAGGCACTAAAAACGTTTTCATTGTTTGAGATGAAATTCATTTTGTTGTTGTTAACAAACGTGGACGTTTATTGAAATGATTCAGTTGTAAATAATCTTAAAATAACTACATTGTCAAATTTATACTCAATTTCAACCATGTCGATGTCATTCGTAAGTAAAGAGTTTATGGTTGATTCGAGTCCTAACAAGTGTTATTGTTATCAAATGTACAAGAACTGTTTTTGAACTTAAAGGTTGTTTATTATCACATTCAATAGTATATTATTTTATTTAAACCAGCCTGCTGTTGGATTTAAAGGCGAAACAACAAGCTTCTTGTATAAGGATCGTTCTAATCTAATCTCTATATACGCTTACCTGTGTATCAATATCGTGTTTCATTTTATCTTAATTGTTTTTAATTACATCATCATTGTTTGGAATTTTCCTTGTGAACTATTGTTTTATGCCTTCGTGCTATAAATATCGTGTTACGTTGATTTGTTGTATATCTAACTTTAAAATAAATTATTACACCTATTGCCGTCCGTATATTTGTCTAACTATACAAAACAATCTTGTTTCAAGGTATATCTTTCTATTAGATCCTCACACTGTATGAGGCTATAGATTTAGCAATCGGGTTCTCATCACCTTGCAGCGCTATACATTGAAAGATGAAATGCGTTTCCTCACGTTGAATGATGATTCCGTACCCAGATCAGTTGAGTTCCCCATGTTTTAATGATAAGTTAATATTAATTATTTACGGTTATGGCTCCATCTATCGGAGATTTGAGAAAGTTGACTGTGCCAGCACTCCTACTAAGGAAATGCAATGTTGTTTAAATAGGATGAAATGAAAAGAAATATGTTACACGTGCAAAAAAGATGGGCGGGTATTAGTGACTATTGGAACTCGTACACAACTATAATGTATAACACTTAAAGTTCGTTAATATACCTGGGTAAATAGAGGAGAAACGTAGTCAATTAATCAAAACCCAGCCTGATGGTTAGGGCACTCGCAATCTGATAGTACCCGGCTCAGATCCCCCCCCGCTATTATGGGACGGTCAATTCCACTTTTTTTTTGTAAAAAGTAGCCCAGGAGTTGGGGGCGGATGGTGTTGACTAGTTGCCTTCCTTCTAATCTATTACTTCAATATTGGGGACGGCTAGCGCAGATAACCCTCGAGCAGCTTTGTTCATATTTTAAAACAAACACATTTTTTATACTTTAGCCTGATCTTGACAAGCTTATAACATTAAATTTCGATGTTTTATCCCTGTGGGGAGACAAGTGTATAGATAGCACAATGTACAGCTTTGCTTTTTAATTTAAAAAATCTGGGAGGGGGGGGTTCTACAGTTTATACCTACCAGTAATTGTACATTACAAGCTCACCAATATATCAATATTGTGTTTTAGGAACATAAATATAATGCATGAACAACGAACTCGTGTTTTAACAGTGGTTTTTGCTTTGTTATAGTTGTCCTTTTATTGTTTGGGACATTTTTCTTTTATTTGTATACGATGGGCTGTCTGTACTGTGCCCACCGCGAGCATCGAAACGAGATTTTTAGCGTTATAAGCCCTCAGACTTATCGTTGAACCACAGGGGGATGTATATGAGAACTCGTACTTCTAATTTTTCAAATAAGAATAAACGTTTTTGTTTGCTTGCTTTAAGCAAAAAGCTACACAATTGACTATCTATGCTGTATGAGCTTCGAACCCAGAATTTTAGCGTTATAAACCCTCAACATTACTGCTGAGACACCGAGGTGGGAGGAAGCACTTGAGAAAGAAATGCTGTTTTAGTTATAAACAAATACGTGAAACCTTTTTAAAGCAACGTGATTATACGTTTATCAAATCGCCAGATTATTAAATCGTCTAACTTCATGTTTATGTGTATTTGAAAATGTAATTAAAGACAAAAAAAAAAAAAACGAAACTTTATAACCTGAGCGCTTTCTAAAAGAGGATCTTTCTTCGTCATTGGCAAACTGGTGAATATTTCAAAATAACCATGTTTTAGGAATATGGACCTTTTGAAAAGCTACACAAGAGCTATATACACACAACTGTTTTTAATTTTGAACTGATGGAGTAGAGAAGGATTTTTTAATCCATGGGTCACGACCCAATATTAGCTGTCAAAATCCGGGAAAGGTTCGCAAACATACGATAATTTATCTATTTTTTTATTTATTTAACAAAATAGACGTTTTATACTGAAGCTTCTTATTGGATCACTACTGGTATTCAATGTTTGAAAATGGGACCTAAGTTGAAGAAAGGTTGAGAACTATTAGAGAGGAAGTAGCTACTTAGCAGCACCCACCGCCAACTCTTGGGCTGCTCTTATGTAACAGCACTGGGAGTTGACTGTCACTTTTTAGCGGGAAATTATCGCGAAATAAGAATCCTGTATCCACAGTCCGGGCACGCTAGCAACTGGGTCACGCCTGAATTAACAAACAAGTCCATATGAATGACAGCTGTATGATTTGTGCGTTATTGCTACGTGAAGTCACAAACAATAGTCTTTAAAACAGTGAAATAAATACAGTCGAAACTCGATAACCAGTAATCCACTGTTTAAAAAAACATCAGCTTTGAGACGGCTTGGCTGAGTAATGAAAAACACTTTATAATAAAGTTCTTAGGGCGCTCGACTCGCAATCTGGGGGTCGCGGGTTCGAATCCCCGTCACACCAAACATGCTCACCCTTTCAGCCGTGGGGGCGTTATAAGCAGACGGTCAATCCTACTATTCGTTGGTAAAAGAGTTGGCGGTGGGTGATGATGACTAGCTGCCTTCCCTCTAGTCTTACACTGCTAAATTAGTGACAGCTAGCGCAGATAGCCCTCGTGTAGCTTTGCACAAAATTCATAACAAAAAAACTGACTAAACTTTGATATTCTTACGAAAGCGTAAAAAATAAAGAAATTATCTTAGATGATACATTTTGGCGACTTTGTTTTTTGGTTTAACATTTTGTAAACCCATTTTGTTGTTTTTAATGGAAGCTCAACCAAGTACGTGCTTTCCTTCACTGCATTTTTATTATATAGTTTTTCTTCTTTTTTTTTTTTTTCATATATATTCAACCTTGAAAAGTCATCACAAAGAATGAAAAGGACCTCGGATTTTCCCTTCTTTTGTATT